CTAGCGTTGTAAGTCCCCAGACATACCGCTGTGCCACTGGGGGGGGGGGGCGGATAATTCTAGTTTGTAGAGATGTAGTGACAAAATTGATGAAAAATTACATTTCACCAAATTAATCTATTACATGTATAACTGTTATTGTTCAACCAGTTTACTAATATACAGTATTTCAATCACTACTACGTATGCAGCCGGTGTGAAGAACTCTGGTAATGGTCGAAAAGGATCATCGACACTGGATATGGCAGATATAATGAAATTTATATGTTATATATATTATTCACTTTTTTATACTATCAGTCAGTTCTTAGAATTATTAGCTGCAGGTCAGTTGTGGGGTGATGGGGTAAATATGGAAGCTAAAGTAGCACTCTATGGTGGTGGACAAAATGTACGTCTAAACTTAAAAGACGAATGAGTAAATTGAACTTGCACAAATGTATTCTTTTTTTTTTTTTGTCAGTGTATATAAAAACAAGCCCCCCAGTGGCACAGCGGTATGTCTGAGGACTCACACCGCTAGAAACCGGGTTTCGATACCCGTGGTGGGCAGAGCACAGATAGTCCCATGTGTAGCCTCATGCTTAATTCCAAGCAATTAATCAATAGAAAAAACATACTTTATGTAACTTATTCCGCGTCACTTATTTGTTTCGATTTTTTATTATCTAGCTAACTTTTACATAATTCATTTTTAGCTGAAAAACCTTAGTTTTTATTAAATGGAAACATAAATTTCATCATTTTTCAGCAAACAGTATCAATCAACACAAAAATACACAAGTAATTATAAAGAACTAGCGTATAGCTCGTCAAAATGACGGGGCAAGTATTACTACCCCCACCCCATAGTATGCCCTAACCTCGCATTTCATAGCTAACTGCAATAAATAAATTTTGTGAAATCCAGCTTGACCAACAAAGAGGCAGAAAAGTGCAGTCGAAGCAATCAGACGTGAACCAATCAAAATTAAGATCATTCATAAGATGAACTCGTGGCGTATTCATAGAATAATTATTGGTAAAAATCAGTAAGATTAACAACTTCTAATATATAGAAAAGCAAGTGCGTTTTGGTAACACTGCGTTCCAACAATGAATTTATAGACAAGAAAACTGGAAAAATATTTGTTGATTTCTTAATTTAGAATCTCGTTGATGAAATAGTTTTTTTATTAAAAATGTTGGTGATATAACGAAAATAGCTTAATTCAGAAACGATTTAAGTGTAAAATTGAATCGATATTTTTACTTTCATGATAACATTTATGAATTTGGCTCCAGCCTAAGTGATCCCACACTACGTCTTTACTTTAGGCATATTACACCAACGCTCACTACATTTACAAGGTTTCATGCCGCCTTGCACCCCCTGCCACTAAAATCGTAATGGGCAGACAGTAATCGAACTATTAGATCTAGATAAATGCATTTTGTCTTTTATAACTCCTATTTCGAGAAATCAAGCGTGACGTGACATACAATGGCTTTTATATAGGTTAGATAAAATATAGGTATAACATACAGATAGATCTAGTGTCTGTAAGGTGTAGTAGAACATCTGTTCTTTAGAGCATTAATGAGATAAGTCAGTTACAACATCACATTGCTCACTTCACAGTATCACATTGCTCACTTCACAATATCACATTGTTCACTTGTTACTCCTTGTATGCGTTTGATCGAAGTATAGAATTTTTTAATCAGCCTATGTGCAATCATATGGTTTGTACTCGATAAATTCTTTTGTATTCTAAGTTACATTAAAGCTTTCATGAGAAACAAGAGATAACATATAATGTTCTCTGCTCGTTCAGAGCCTATACCTACTAATTGTTAAAGAGTTATGAGTTAAGTGTAAGATCAGTTTAAATTTCAGTAATTTCAGCTATGCTGTTACATGATAAGTTTCTGTTTTTCAGGTAATTAGTCTTTTTTTCTAAAAGCTAGTTTGTAATTTGTGTGTAATTTACATAAAGTCAATTACACCAAAACTGAAAGTTTTATACTTTTGTTTCATCAAACATATTTTGATGTTGCATAATTTCATATTTATGAGATTGGTTTATTGTTTACGCTGCGCGAACAATTTTCTTACAGCTTCTAGGAGAGAGTGGGGAGGTTGTTTTCACACTATAGACTGGATATTTCTTGTTAGATACTGTGTATATAAAACAAATTTCAAAACATAGAATTACTAACGGTTACATTATAGACTGAATATTTCTTGTTCGGTTCATAAACTCGTTATATACTGTTTATATAAAACAAATGTCAACATATAGAAATACTGACGTTCACACTATGGACTGAAGGTTACTTGTTAGGTTCATAAATTCGTTAGATACTGTCTATATAAAGCAAACACATATAGATCTTGACGTTCGAGCTATAGACTGGAGGTTTCTTGTTCGGTTCATAAATACGTTTTGTCCTTTTTATATAAAACAAATTTTGAGATACTGAGTCATAACTAACAAAAAAAAACAGTTGTGCTAATATGATTTAGAGAAATATAGTTTTCGAAATGAAATCTACTTGGGATTTTCATGAGGTAATTGGATACGTAATTTTATTTGGTATTAATAATCGGGGGTACAAGTAGTGTCAGTAACTTGTTCACCGAAATGTTTAAATTACAAACCTCACGTTATTTTTTATAATATACTCCACACTAGAGCGCCTAGTTTATGAAAAATGCCATTTTTTTCTATAATATCTCACTCCTGAGTCCACATAATGACTCCAGGTGGCTCAGTAGTACGTTTGAGGGCTTATAACACTAAAAATCGAGTTTCAATACTTGCGGTGGGCAGAATACAAATAGTTTATTGTGTAGCTTTGCGCTTAAGAACAAAACAATCAAACCCTTTGTTATATCAATAACAACAATATTTTCAATAATTTTTTCGTACTAAAGATCTTATTATATTAAAAACCACGATGATTTGTATAACGCCCGTATCTGAGTTCCAATCACATCACTATGTTTTAAATTCTTATATAATGATAAATTATATAAATTCTTTCAGACAGAAAGACTCGTTTGAATACAATAAATCAATAGCATAAACCATGGATTTCCAACCAGTGATAATACATAACTCCATGGGTGCTCAAGCTACTCTGAATAATACAAATGAAAAAAAAAGTCTATAAAATAAAATAAAACAGTTGCAGCCTCTTTGCATTGTATGCAGGACATTTTGACTGTGGTATTTACTGTATGAAAATTAAGCTTTGTAATGGATAGATACATAACAAAAACGCTAAAATAGTGACGTAAATGTGAGAGAATAGACGCGTGGCAATGCCATGAAAAATGTCAATGTTTTGGGCTTGATAATGTAAGAAAAAAGGGCTATAAAATTTGACACACAAATAACAATAAAACACTGTATTGGTGCGAGCAAGTTTAAAGGTCGTAACACTGCAAGTTCCAGTGATTGATTCACTTAAGGAATGATGGAGTTAGTTATTGCCACTATAGTAGGCAGTGAATCACGGTAAACATAATCCAATATAAAGTTAAGAGACAGAAAATGTCAAAAGTACGGTTGTGTATAGTAAGTGAACTGCCTCATAAATGGATAACTGTAACAACTATAAACATATATAAAGAATATAGTTAAATAAATGAATTTCATTCTACGAGTGGTAAAACATTCAGACAACAGTTTAACAATATAAATTTAAAGTAATTAGTCTGAGTGACGCAAGGCTATATGAGGAGATCCAGTTCTGTACAGTGTATTTACTGAAGTTACACTTTGGTAGAACATCCATTGTTTTGGTTTATACGTGAAGGAAAACCGCATTGATTTCCTCATATAGCGACGCGATTTCTTTTTTTTTTTGTGTGTGTGTATGTTTTTTCGTTTGTTTGTTTATTTGAGTTTTTCTCCTCATCAAAACGTGATTTTCAGAAAAGATGACATAGAGGCCTAATCTAGTTTCTGATTCGCTACCACTGTTCACCGAAATTCAAATTTTGGTGAGGAAAAGAAATTCATAAATAAATAAATAACCAGTTAGTCTGCTGAATAATAGTGGATAATTAATTGTAACGGTACGTCACGTGTTATCCATACATCTAAAATATTTAGGTTATTATTGGTGCGTAAAGGACTATACATCAAAACCAAACAACTTTGCCTTTCTTATGTTTGTTTATGATCTTAGTTTTATTCAAAGTTACGTTATGCACAGTTTTTGTATATTTGAACAAGAAGTGGCCATTACGTGTGTGAAACCTACTGCTTACTACAACCACAGATGACAGTACGTTGTGGACGAAGTGCTGTGTTTTCAGATGCTTTTGTAAAGTGTTAGATCTACTTACTGGGACGTCAAATTTTGTTGATTATCCGCGTTTTTAGTGTATGGCATACACTGTATGCGGTTGGCTTAATAAAAGAAATTGCTTGTCGTCATGGGTCTTTTTTACCGATATTTTGGATGAATTAGTACGTCTTTGAGTGAGTTAAATTATATCCATTTCAAGTGCGAACTGTATAGCATGATTCTGAATATCCATGAGAGACTGAAAATGACCAATTTCTGCTTAACTGTGCCAAGTTAGAAAAACATCTCAAAGATGTAATTGATGTAAAGTAAAGGTAATAATATTTTTATATAAAATGGGGGTGGGTTGGAGAAGAACCCATTGGAGTGCCCTCTGACATTAAAATATATATATCCCATTCAGCAAAAACAACTTGATTGTAGACACAATTCCAATAGTTTGTTGTATTGTCAATATGATAATGATTCTAGATGAGCCACCTCAAATCGAACTGCCAAATTTGGTATTGTTAACTCCAAAACTGTGATAGGAGTTTGTGGACAAACAAACAATCTAACACAAAACGTTAATCATAAGGATTCTTATGAATATGGAAACTACATTAGAGATGGATATTATTTCAAACTATGTGAGTTATATCGTAGAACCGATTTTAAGAAACTGTTCCGAGCATTCCCTTAGATATTTCAAAGTATTAGCTTAGACTTACGATATATATCATGCAGGATAACCACCACAGCAGAAGTTAAGTCTTGTTAAGGTATAAAACACCGTGCCAAGTTTATGATGGGAAGAATCTGTATGGTATTAAGAACGATGCCTGTGTTGAATGATCCATTGTGATCTTGTTGTTTCTCAGTGTTCATCGTTGGGTCTGGATCTGTAATTGGTTGTTACTTTTATTTTCTGTGAAGTTTAACATCTGATCAGACTTGGTGACTTTCTTAACTGTATAATTCGTACTTTCCCCGTTTTCCTTCTGATAATGTTATATTACGCCACTGCATGCGGACAACTGTTATGTCGAACTAAAATGATGTTATCTCACAAGCTACATTATTGAATGCTACTGAAAAGTTTATTGTTGCGCTTTTCGACGCCAAAAGTCGGTA